CTCAGTGTTTGCGTTTCTTTATACATTCTACACATATACAAATCTGTGTGTCACAATTTTCTATTAATTATTTTTATGACTATGAGTAAGAAGAAACTGATACTTGGTGTCAATTCGTAAGGCGTTATTTATTCTGAATGAGGCTGAATAGAAAAATTAGATCAAATCATAAGATTCACTAAATGGTTATTCCTATTGAAATGAAATTGAAGCTCACAAAATTTTCAGATTTTTCCAAAACTGACAGCCTGCAACTTGGGATAGTAGCCAGTACACGTTTCTTGTGTAGAAATTGAACTATTTGATGACTACTATTTAAATGAATATTTTTTTCTTTCATGCGTCATCATCGATCAGAGTATTACTCCTGCATGGACGAAATCATCATAAAATATGACACTGAGGTTTTCACCAGCTGAAAGGTAAATAATTTTTATAGATAGGCTACTGTGCCTTTGTCAAATACGAAATATTAATTAATATTAATTATAAACGAATATACCACTGAAAAGCCCTCTACCGTGCCGGTATAATAATTGTAAATGCTGAACGAGAATGTCTTGTTGGTTCTCAACATCATGTTCAACAACACCTTTTGGGTTGCTACAGTAGTTTCGTACCAGTTGTCGTGGAAACTGAAACCATTGATAACATTTCTTTTGGCACACATTCAAAGTACCGTTTAGTGATCCAAAGCTTACATTCCCATTGAAAAATTGTTATAGTAATCGTACGATTGTTCGCATAAGTAATTCAAATAATACATATACATTAATTCGCAAACGATAATTACGATGCTGCTAACTGCTTCTTCGAATTCGGATGAAAGCATGTTGGATTGCGATGCGGACAGCTGGAAAATGAATAAAATCTTGGAATCTGGTGTTTCTCGTTTCGACAAATAATTACGAAGGCCGGATTGGAAACATTGTAGTTTTGAGGGCCACGAAAAATGAACGGAAATTTCATTGTCTAATATATGCACAAATATACTTACGCGAAATAAATTAATTGCTAGAGAAGTGATGGCAAACAAAA